GCGTGACCGGGGCCGGCCCAGGGACCGGGCGTGGCCGCGCGGCAGAGACTGTCATCTTTGCCACCGCCTGGCCGCCGGGGTGTGGCGAGCCCGGTAGACTCCGCTCAGAGCCGCGGCGCCGCCAGCCTCGGCCCCACTCGGCTCGCCTCGGTGCGGTTCGGCTTGCGGCTGCCGGACCGAACGCAACCCGTCACCGCCCCTTCAAGAAAGTACCAATGAGCTGGACGATTTTCTCCTCCAACCAATAGGGTCGTGTGGAGGCGGGACTAAAGAGAGAAGTCCAACCCAGATAGAGGCGGAGCTAGACCCAGGTGTAGGTGGGGGTTCTAGCTCCTTAACTGGGCTGGCTATGTCGCTCCAGGACCCTGAGTGGCGGGTTTGCAAAGACTACTCCAAAACTCCAATTTCCGTATCTGTTCTAATAGGGAAAATATGTGAGTAAATGGGTACACGCACCAAGTTTCTCAAAATTATTGCTTTTGCAAGCATTTAATGAAGGCTTTCTATGTGACAATCACAAAGCGAAACACACAACAACAAAATACAATACAGTGATATAAAAAAAAAATCATGGTCCTTGGCTTTAGGGAGCTCATAGTGAAATAAGACAGATACATAAACAAATAACTGCAAACAGATAATTGCAATACAAAGTGATTCATATTTACTATAATAATGTGCAATTAATGCTCAGCAGGGATAAGTTTTGCCTGGAAAAATCAAGGTTTCACAGAAGTGACATCTGAATTAAGTGTTAAAGAATAAGTTGGACTTTGAGGGTGAAAGGTAAAAAACCGCCAATGAACATGTCCACTTGGATATACTGCAGACAAGACAAACACAGGGCCTGAGCATAATTTGCTATTTCTCCCTTCCCAACCTTTGCTCCTCCTTCAAGCCTTGGAGGTAATCTTTGCTTTCCCCTCTTTCATCCCCTGTTATATTAGTTATCTAGGCTGCATAACAAGTAACAAATTATTACAGCATAATGTAGTAGCTTAAAACACCAATAACATTTACTATTGTAACTGAGCAGGACCCTATGGGGCCTTCCCAGAACAGACCTCCCACCCCCGTCCTCTGCCAGCCTCTTGTTTGTAGAAAAACTTTAGCCTCCTAGGCCTTCCCTGAGTTCCAAAGAATACATTTAATCAGAGAAGTGAGAAAATGCAGAAAGAAAGGAAAATAGTCAAGCAAGACAAAATAGTAACAGTTTAGCCATTAAATGAAGGACGTTTAGTTCTTCCTCAAGGGCTACAGATAATATTCTGAGCCACATCTTTTGATCTGTTTTGCAAAGACTGAAACTCCCCCCAGGTGGAAGAAGTTAACTGTAGACCCCACATGAGTTGGAACCAGAATGTTGATAATGTTGACCCTCACGGTTTCCCTTTGTTAGCAATTCAGGAATAGCTTAACTGGGTAGTCTGGCTCCATCTCTCTTGAGATTACAGCCAAGTTATTGCATGGGGCTACAACCATCTGAAAGCTTAACTGGGGCTGGAGGATCCACTTCAAGGATGCCTTACTTCCATGACTGGCAAACTGATGGTGTCTGTTGGCAGTCAGTTTCTGTTCCTCTTTACCGGGACCTCTCCATGGGGCTGCCTGAATATCCTCGCATCACGCAGTGGCTTCCTCAGAGCAAATGATTCAAAGGAGCAAAATGAAAGTCACAATGCTTTTTATAATCTAGTCTGAGACATAACATGCAATCACTTCTGCCCTATTCTGTTGGTTACACAGGCCAACCCTGATGCACTGTAGGAAGGCGCTACACAAGGGTGTAATACAGCGATCTGGGGGACGCATCTTGGAAGCTGCCTACCACATCCACATGTAAGCATTCACCATGTCCTGGTAATCTGCCTCCTAAATGACTTAAATCCATCATTTTCTGTCCATTATCCTTTTAATGCAGGACTTTATCATCACTCACCTAGACTACCCAATAGTTTCATTAAAAAAAAAAACAAAACTTTGCCTCCAATCTGTCCCATTCCAAATTTCCAGTAGGGTAACCTTTCTAAAGTGCAAGTTCTGGTTTATTCATTCAACAGTTACTGAAGGCATACTACGTGCTAGGCATTTTGCTAAGAAGCAGAGATAAGATGATTAAAACGTGGTGTCTGAATTCAGATTGCTTAGTCTAGAAGGGGAAATACATATTTGAAAGTGGTACATCAAATCTACTCTCTGAAACTTTCTAACACAGTAGCCTCAACACAGAGTTCTTCTGGCACTGATGCATGCCTCTCCCTAGCTGCTCCTCAGCAATGCAGCCTAGGCTTTATTTGCTTCTCTGAGCATGGTTTTGCTATTGAATTTTTTGTCTTGATTTTTCTTAAAAATTTCTTTTCAGGGAGGAGATCAAGATGGCATACCAAGAGGACATGGAGTTCACCTGCCCCCAACAAACACATTAAATAATATATCTACGTGTGGAGCAATTCTCACTAAAAACAAACTGGAGACTGGCAGAAAAACCCTTATCAATCAAGGCTGTAAGAAAGATCCATAGATAGCTGGATAAGGAGGGAAGAGAAGCAACCAGGTCAGGACCAGCACCCTAGGAGGGGACACAGAATAGAAGGGGGGTTACACAGGCTCAGAGAGCCTCCTTGGAAAGTTAGTGGTTTGAACCCCATACTGGGTGCCCCAGCCCTGGGGTCCAACACCAGGAAGATGAGTCCCTTCAGCTGGTTTGAAAACCAGTGGGACAGACAGCCAGGCTGTAAGAAACCTAGATTCTTCTTGTGAAGAGCACACACATGCTTGCTTACTCCTGAAAGGGGGCGGAGCAAGCAGGGTAGAAAATGCCTGGGATTCTGGCTGTTTTCCCATGACTGCACAGCATACACCCCAGCCTGAACCAAGCCCTCACTGGCCCCTTTTGCTCCTTCACAGGGCTCCACACTAGGGAGAAGGCTGCCATGGCTGAGGAGAGCACACAGTTTTAGGGGGCAGAGCCAGCTCTGATCCAGCACACCATCCAAATGAGACAAGGGCAGCCATTACTAGTGTTCATTATGGTAGCAGATTGGGAGCAGTCCAGAATTCTGACTGGTGCCAGGACTGCACCCAGGCCCACAACAAGCACCCCCTCCAGCCCCTCTTGCTCCAGCAGTGCTCCACCCTGGGGCAAGGGTGCCAATGCTGGGAGGAGGGAAAGCACACACACAAAGAGGGTACAGAACCACCTCGGACCCAACCCTCGGGGTTTCTGCTCCAGCAATCTGGGACCCAACACTGCCCCCAGTAGGATGGTGTTGGCCACTGAGCAGAGTAGAAAGCCTGGCTCATACCTGGCTCTGGCTCTAGAAACTTCATCCCAGCTCCATCTCCTACCAAGATGATACCTGCCAGCGCACCCTTGGGGAAGATGTGACTCATAATCATTTCAAATCCACCTCTCCCAAAAGAGCTACTGGACACATGCAGACAGTATGGGGATGCTCCCACACAAGGACACTCCTTCAAGACCAGAATAGGAAAAAAACACACGCACCCCAATGTTCATAGCAGCACTATTTACAATAGCCAAGACAGAAACAACCCAAATGTCTATCAACATATGACGGGATAAAGAAGATGTGTTACACACACACACACACACACACACACTGAAATTCTACTCAGCCATCAAAAAGGTCACAATAATGCCATTTGCAGCAACATGAATGGACCTGGAGATTGTCATTCTAAGTGAAGTAAACCAGAAAGAGAAAGAAAAATGCCATACAATATCGCTTATATGTGGAATCTGAAAAACAAAAAGGACTACTTATTATTTATAACTCATGATTGACTTCTTGAATATGTGTAAGCACATTTGACTGTCCTTTATAATTGGGTAACTGTATTCTGTTGATTCTTATTTTGTGGTTGGCTTTATTCCTTTGATAACTATATAAGTTTAAAGAGCTAAAGCTCTAAACTGTTCTTAGAAAGAAAGAACAGTACATATATGTAAATTTTTTTAATGTGCAGTATATTGTATATATATATTTACATGCAATATATTGTATATGTGCAGTCAAATTGTGTCAATTGTACCTAATAAAACTAAAAATGGGAAAAAAAAGACCAGAATAGGTAACTATTTTGCCTAATTCTATAGAGACAGAAAAAGTTAAGCAAAATGAGAAGACAGAGTAATTTGTTTCAAACAAAAGAACAAGAAAAAATTTTAAAAACAGCTAATGAAATAGAGGTAAAAAATTTACAAAATAAAGAGTTCAAAGCATTATTAATAAGAACGCTAACTGAACTAGGGAAAAGAATTGATGAACACAGAATTTTAACAAGGAACTAGAAAATATAAGAAAGAACCAGTCAGAACTGAAGAATACACTAAACTGAAATGAAAAACACACTAGAAGGAATTAATAGCAGACTAAGTGATACAGAAGAATGCAAAAGTAACCTGAAGATAGAATAATGGAAATCACCCAATTGGAATAGCAAAAAGAAAAACAGATTAAACAATGAGAACAGTATAAGGAACCTCTGGGACAACACCAAGCATACCAACATTCAAATTATAAGGGTCTCAGAAGGAGAAGAAAAAGAGAAGGAGATCAAAAATGTGTTTGATGAAATTACGGCTAAAAATTTCCCAAACCTGAAGAAGGAAACAGATATCCATGTATAGGAAGCACAGAGTCCCCCAAAAACATGAACTCAAACAGACACACACTGAGACATATCATAATGAAAATGTGAAAAATTAAAGATAAAAAGAGAATTCTAAAGGCAGCAAGAGAAAAACAAAGGGTCACATACCAAGGAACCCCCATGAAGCTATCAGCTGATTTTTCTGCAGAAACGTTGCAGGCCAGAAAGCAGTGACGTGATGTACCTGAAGGGCTGAAAGGGGGAAATTCTACAACCTAGGATACTCTGCCCAACAAGATACTCATTCAGAATTGAAGGGGAGATAAAGAACTTCTCCGATCAGCAAAACTAAGAGTTCATCAACGCTAAACCAGCCCTAAAAGAAATGTTAAAGGCTCTTCTCTAAGTGGAAAATAAAAGGCTACAACATGAACTAAGAATCTATAGGAAAAGAAAAATAAACCCACTAGTAAAGGCAAGTACACAGAAAAGGCTGTGGATCAACCACAGAAATAAGCTAATATGACGATCAAAGGACAAAAAAATTGTAAAATCAAGTATAACTACATGAAACAGTTAAGAGATAAACATAAAGATGTAAAATATGACATCAAAAACACAAAACGTTGAGGGGCAGTGAAAAAAAAGTAGATGTTGTAGAATGTGCTTGAACTAAAGTGACTACCAGTTTAAAAACAAGTAGATAAAGGCCAATACATATGAACCCGTCGGTTAACATAGGTTCTGACCTATAATAGATAAACAAAAACTAGAGAGAAAGGATCACAAGCATATCACAAAAGAAAATCATCAAAGGGAAGAAACTAAAAGAAGACAAACAGAGAAGAAATACAAAACCAGAAAACAAGTAATGAAGTGGCAATGGATACTCACCTATCAATAATCACTTTAAATGTCAATGGATTAAATGCTCGAATCAAAATACATAAGGGAGCAGATTGGATTAAAAAAATCCTATCTATATGCTGCCTACAAGTGACTGACCTCAGTGCTATAGACACACACAGACTGAAAGTGAGAGAATGGAAAAAGATACTTCATACAAATGGAAACAATAAGAAAGCTGGGGTAGCTATACTCATATCAGACACAATAGACTCTAACAATGTCTATAACAAGACAAAGAAGGGAATTATATAATCATAAAGGGATCAATACAAGAAGAGGATGTAACATTCATTAACATGTATGCACCTACATTTCTTGTCAAGATGGCGAAAAAAAATAAAGTGAATGAGTGAGTGAATGATGTGGAAGAGAAAGGTTAAAGAGATAAAGAAGAGGTCAACAGTGCCCACGTCGGGACCCGGGTCCAGGGCACAGATGGCCCGGGCGTGCGCGTTGATCTGGACGTGCAGAGTTCCTGTACTGGCTTCGTACAGACACACCTGCCCGTCCCCATAGCCTGCTGCTATGGTCCCCTGCCACAGCTGCATGGAAGGGCACGGGACTCTGCAAGGGTGATAGCCCACTTTGATTTCCCAGACCCGGGCCCACTCCCACCCTGAAGCTACCTCAGGAAGGCGTCAGCCCCCTTCTGCCTCACCTACCTGAATACTGGAATTTGGGTCAGTAATTTGAATTCAGGCACTCACTGGATGGATGATGAAACAGGCCACAGTGTCATGACCTTCTGGAGGTCTTGCAGTGAGACACTCAGAGTCACGACTAGACTCTGGGCCTCCCGAGAGCCCCTAACCCCAAGCAGCAGACACAGCCCACGGGCCCAGCTCTGTAGCAGGTGCAGCGCAGGGTGCAAATTGGAAGATACATACCCTGTTCCCAAGATGCTTACGACCCAGCTGGGGAGACAGGACTTGTCTCTGAGGGCAGTATCAATTCAAGGCTCAGCTGAGGGAGACCAGTGGGAGCTGGAATAGGGGGGTGGCTTCCTGAGGTGGCACTGGGGGTGGGCCTGAAGAGGCAGGACTCGCCCAAGTTCAGAGAAGGAAGCTACACATGTCAGAGCAGGAAAGCATCTCGGAAACTGTCTGCCCCAACTCTTCAGTTCACACCAGCACTGTAAAGTCTTGGAAAACGACTAAATGCCATGTAAATGGAAAGTAACCCTGGCGCTGTCACTGGACCCGAGGTTGCTGAAGCCTAGGAGAGTCTAGCAATTTGCCTAAAGTCATCCAGCTGCTTGAACCCAGCTCTCCTGCCTCCCAAGGAGGGGAAGGCCCCCACACCCACTGGAACAGGTAGGCGAAATCCACTTACCTGGCCCTGGGCAGGCTCGGTGGCAATGTCTGTGACTGGTGTCTGGTGTCCAGCCGGCTCTTCACTCAGTACGATGTGGGGACCCTTGGCTGGGATGTCAAACACCAGTACCCGGCCTGACCATGCTCCTGCAGAAGCAGTGCTCCACTGATGGCTTCCTGATCCTCCCAGGTCCCCAGCCCCCACACTCAGCACTTCCTCCATCCCAGAGACCTTAGTAACAAACCCACCTCTCACTGCTCCAACCAGCCTTGCCCCCATATTCACCACCCTTATCCTATCCCACCCTGCCCCTCTAAACCCCTCCACAGCTTTTTGGAGACTTCAGACCCCTCTTCACTCCCACCCTTCCCTCTAACCCTCCAGTTTCCTCAGATCAGCATCTTCCTGGCCAAAGCACACACCCCTATGCCCCAGAACCCCACAATGCCCTGCCCTCGGCCCCCTCACCCACACAGATGAAGTGACCACTGGCAGCAATTCCTCGGGCAGACACAGCCTGTACTAAGTATGAGAGGGGAAAACTATTAGAAATAGCATCTCCCCATCCCCACAAACACTCCCTACCCCTGCCCCACGCAGTCCCACAGGTACCTAGAGACGCATCTCCAGAGTCCAGTGCGTGCCAATAGACCATGACGGAGCCATCAGACTTGTACATCTGGAAGACGGGGTGAGGATGGGGTCACAATTCAGCTGACCTTTGCTGAGCTCTGTGCTGACTACTCCACGTACTCATGTTAGCCTTAGCCCAATTAATCCTCAAAACCACCCTGGGAGGTCGGCATTACTTTTATCCCCATTTTACAGAGGAGGACACTGAGGCTCTGAGAAGTCAATTAAATTACCCAAGGACATGCGGCTAGTAAAGGGGCAGATATTGGAGATGGCACCTGAGAACTGAAAAACAAGGAAGGAGAGAAGATGAGAAACAAGGAGGAAGGAGCTAAGCAAATTAAAAGTTTGGAAATGTTTAGAGGCAAATGGGGAAAGGTCTAGGGGCCTTGGGGAGAAGGTGAGAAGACTCTAGTTGGGGAGGGCAGGAAGGTCCTCTTCTTACCTGTATTTCTGGATGTGAAGTGAGTACCAGCAATACTCGGTAAGGGAGGACACACCAGTGGACCTGGAGGGCGGTGAGTCAGAGCAGGGAGAAGTGGTCAGAACAGGGGACACGACGACTCTTAAGTGTGGAAATTCAGACGGCTAGACAAGGCCTCTTTTTCGGGATTTGGTGAGGAAAGGCTGGGTGAGGGCTGGTTTCAGCAGCACCGCTCCCAACTCCATGGCTCACCTGGGTGATAAGTGAGGAGCTCACGCCAGCGCCCTCCTTAGCGTGGAGCTGACGCTGGACCAAGGGCACCCCCTCAGGAGCAGCGCTGAGAAGCTGGGCGCTGAGTCCATGGACTACGCCAAAATGTGTGAGGTTGCGCTGCTGCAGCACACTGAGGTTGTTGCACAGGGCGGCCGCCGAGCCTCGAAGGGGAATGGAGCGCCCCGGGCGGAACATCCCAGGGGAGAGACGCCCGAATCATCAGGTTCAACAGAGGACAGCGGAGATTCCTGTGGGGACTCGGGGTGTTGTTATGCGGCACTGGGAGAGACCCCTGAGTCTGGGTCATGATGGGATGGGGGGTCACGTGGTGCGGGGAGGGTATCATGGAGCAGGTAAGGGGAACCCCAGGGCTGAGTAATCGGGCGATGCGGGGAATCCCGGAGGAGGAAAGGCGATGGCACAGGTCCCAGTGGCCCAAAGAGCCCAAGCCGAGGTGGGATGAAGCAAGGTAGCCCCCAGGCCCTATTTCCCTCCGCTTGGCTCCCCTAATACCCGGGCCAGGTAAGAGATCATAACAGCCCCCCTACATCGGCTTCC